GTTTCTGGCGATGTGTTCGAGCCGACGTTCACACTACGAAAAGCTTGGTCAGCTTCTATCTGAACAATATTGTTGCGAAAGACTCCATTGCGGCAGGAAACAAACCGTGGAGCAGTCGTTTCCTGAAGGATGCGAATAACCCACTTTGTGGGGTTAATGATGTTGTTGTGTTGAACCACGGCACCATCAACTCCGACGAACGCCGCGGCGGCCATACCTCCGACAAAAGTGCAATCCTCAACGGTGATATCCTTCGCCTCATAGGTCGCATTCTGCGGTCGAAAATAGGGCAGGCCTGTGCTGCCACCGATGTTAACGCCGCGATGACCACAGTTTTCAAAACGGCAGTAAGAAACCAAGATGTCGCTGGTTCCTCCTTTCATCTGCACACCACTGGCAGAATTCATCGTATCGAATTCCATTCGGCAATCTCGCACAATGCCATGATGACAACCAACCATATCGATGGCGGAGCCGCCTTCTCCCCAACGCTCGATTCGGCAGTTCTCTAGCGTGAAATGATCTAGCCCGGAGAGCTTTATTCCGTCGCAGTTGCCATCTGGCCCGATCTGGTGCACATAAAGATTGTTGAGCGTGACATGTAGGGCAGGGGAGTCAAAGGATCCAGCATCGTCGATGTTGATTCCATTTTGGCTGGCACCACGGACTTCGAGGTTTTCAAGGGTGACATAAGCTGGGTCTGACAATTGAATGCCGAACGATCGCCCTTGAATGATGGGGCGTTGGTCGGGTCTTTCGCCCCGGATAACGATCGGTTTTGCCGGTGTTCCTTGCAGATTTTGGAGTGATATTCCACCGTCGATCGTCTTCGAGGTGATTACGATTGTGGAGCCTGGCATTGCCTTTTCGGCTGCTTGAAGCAATTCGTGCTTCGATGAAACGTGGATTTCTTCTGCCCAGGTAATTGCTGTGGAAAAAGCGACCAGGCCCAGAGTCAGAAGTTGGGAGAAACGTTGGCTGAAAGATCTCATGGAGGGCACCACACGGAATGGGGTATGCTTCAGAACGATTGCGCAAGAGAGGATAGGTGGTTCAGCGTAAGAATTTCAGAAAAGCGCGTCCAGGATTTATTTGCTCGGCGGAGGGCCTTAGAATAGAAGCGACCCCCAACGGGGAGAAACCCACACCCACCGAGACGATTGCGTTCAAGGGAGCAACAAGCGATGAGTGAAAACGTAGAAGTTGTGCATTTGAAGGATCTGACCATTGTTCGCCTGACCGGCAAGCTTACCAAGGCCGACTACGAGTCGTTCGTGCCTGAGGTTGAAAAGCAGATTCAGGAATTTGGCAAGCTTCGTCTGCTGGTCGAATTGCACAACTTCCAAGGCTGGACCATGGGTGCCCTGTGGGACGACATAAAATTTGATACGAAGCATTGGGGCGATATCAAACGCCTGGCGATCGTAGGCGAATCGAAATGGGAAGAAGGTATGGCTGTCTTCTGCAAGCCGTTTACTTCGGCAAATGTGAAATATTTCGATCACACGAAGCTGGAAGAAGCGAAAAAGTGGCTCGTTGAAGAAGCATAACTTCCTCTCCACGAATCGCCAGCTGCAACACCCCTTTTCTTGAATCAGGATCTCTCCGCGATGGTGGAAGAGAACCCGCATGATGTTCGGCAGTTCCTCGACGAACTGTATCGTTCGGAGTCGCGCCGGGTCTTTGCGACCCTGGTGCGACTGTTGGGCGATTTTGATCTCGCTGAAGAAGCGATGCACGAGGCATTTACATCCGCCTTTGAGAAGTGGCAGCAGGAAGGGATTCCCAAGAATCCACGTGCTTGGCTTGTCTCGACGGGGCGATTCAAAGCGATTGATACGATTCGTCGTCGCGTTCGTTTCGACGAATCGTTAGAGGATATTTCTCGTCGGCTTGATGACGAAAAAGATCAGTTTGCTGCCATCGATGATGAAAATATCGAGGACGATCGTCTCCGTTTGACCTTTACTTGCTGCCACCCAGCGATCTCGGCCAATGCTCAAGTGGCTCTTACGCTCCGAGAAGTGTGTGGACTACGCACCGAAGAGATTGCCAGCGCGTTTCTGACGACTCCTCCCACCATTGCGCAGCGAATCGTTCGTGGTAAGCAAAAGATTCGAGATGCTGGCATTCCTTTCGAGATTCCGACGGTTCCACAAATGCCGCAGCGTCTCGATTCCGTCCTTTCGGTCATTTACCTGGTGTTCAATGAAGGATATTCCGCATCATCGGGTGAATCGGTAACACGACATGATTTGTCAGAAGAAGCGATTCGACTGGGACGACTTCTCGCTCGGTTGCTGCCCGATTCCGAAGNNNNGCTACCGGCGATATCGTCCTGCTGGAAGATCAGGATAGATCGCTTTGGAATCGTGAGTACATAGCGGAAGGTTCTCAGTTGGTGCAACAAGCACTTCAGTCCCGGCGATTTGGTGTCTACACAATTCAAGCGGCGATCGCTGCTGTTCATGGCGATGCTGAGCAGCCGGAAGAGACCGATTGGACTCAAATAATCGCTTTATACGATGTTTTGATGCGAATCGAGCCCACGCCCATCGTGCAATTGAATCGAGCGGTCGCACTCGCGATGTGGGACGGCCCGGAAGCAGGGCTGGCTCTGATAGACAATAT